ATGGCTTCATAACACTTCAAACTTTACCAGAACAGCGATTGGAAGAGGCAGGCCTCTTCAAAACTTGCAAAACACCAGTCAACGTGTTGACAAGCCAGCAACGCAATTAATCCTGGTGTGCACGTTGTGGCTTCCCTGAAGTGCATTTCGTGGCAACATTTTTAAACGCCTCTGTCAAGAAAGAGCATCCAGGGTCGCAATTACGAGCGAACCTTGGATATCTGTGTCAGGGTGTGTGATCTTGCCCTCGGAGCTGCAAGCGGGTCTTTTTAGGTTGCAAGATTGTAAAGTTGCATGGTATTCCTAGCTCGCTGGAAATAGCAAACGAGTCTCCTTTATAAGTTCTCCTTCACATTTCCAACCAACCTTCTTGTATGCCGAAATGGCTGTTGCCAATTATGGTCGACTAATTGCTAGGGCTGCCGACGTACACCAAGAGTATTTTAGTTCGTAGGCTTCAACGAAGGCAGATATCATGAGACATGGTATTTTTTAGACCCATAGTCCCGCAAGTGGCTCTGGATGCAATCAGATGATCAACCAATTAATAACAACATAAAACATCCTGTGTGAACCCTCCAGACTTTGCTCCAGATGAAAGAAATTTAAAGGAAATTAGCAATACAGAAGATCTTCACAACTAAGAAAACATGCAGCCCAAAAACTGTGATTAACTACGCGGAGACATTGTTGCACGAAGTTCCCAATGCGAAACTGCTCGAACCCCTCCTTCTCTCGTTCGCCTAAGATCTGCGAAAATCAACGCTCTGGCCGAAGGATTACGCAGACGCCCCTTTACTGACAAAACAAACGATCTTAACGGTCTACTCTGGTAATTTTGTTTAAGAGTTCTCGACACACGCCTACCAACAGCATAGCCCCACATGTGCACAGACAAGCAATACAGGCGCAAGCGAACCGAGATTCGGCAGAGCAGGAGAAAAATAAGATTGGTGGTGTAAAGCAGTTGTGAAAATTTTTATCAGTAAAAAATGGCGCCTCGAGCAAGGCAGGGTTGCTAAAAACGCAAATAGGAAGAAAAGGGATTGAGGAATGGCACAGACAGCCGCGGTTCTCTCTCTGGCTAGTGAGGACACGCATTTGTGACAAGGAGGGAGCAGAGTAGGTTGGATTAGTAACAGCCGGGGGAGAGGGGCTAGCGCAGTGCTGATACCAGGAACGCAAAGGAATCAGAAAAACGAGGCGTTGGGGGGGGAGACCAGATATGAGACTTGGATCAATCAATGTCCCGAGTGAACAGGATGGTGAGGGTAACCATAGTAGAAAGTATACAAATTTTATTAGGATTATGATGACTGGAATGAAGGGATGGATAAGGCCATGAGAAGTAAGGGAGGAAGATTTGGTCTTTCTGGCATAGTGTACGTGTAATCGGTAACATTTCTTTACGGAGATATGTGATTTGATGTGTATGTGGGTGCAAGTGGCAAACGGTCGGTCCACTGCTTCCTTCGCTCTCCGAGGAAGGTTAGGAAGATCGGCAGGCAGATTACTTATTACCATATATAACGAGCACGTAGTCTTCGAAGTTCAAGGCTCCGTTGTCGCCCTCCGGTCCAGCCAGAGGTTTCATTTTCGATATACAGTATTCCGCCTGTGCAGCA